CTTGTTGTTCGTGTGTTCAACTAAGTTCAATGGGTAATACGAGCTATAATGGCTCCTTGATAAGACCCCTCTAAGGACAGTTAGACTGTGAGGGGGAATGGTTCAAGTTAAGGCTCAAAGTCCTTGCATGTTTTGGGTCTGGGAATTATTTGGAGTTCAGGATTTCAAGGGTTTGGGGAAATGCTCATATCTCTGGGACCAATAGCCAATTGCTGGCACATACCTCAGTCATTGATCCTCTGAGGCCCGATGAAAACACCAGAGACCCATCCTGGGATCGCCCCTTCGATATATTTTCCTATCAGATGGATGGCATTGGCCACCTTTTAAATGGTTTCTGATTTTTTAGAAAGGTGTCATCTTATAGTCGGTATCATGGGGGCTTCTTGTTAGGAGGGACTTGGTGCAGATATGGAACTGGTTGGGAAACCGTGGCTTTCATTCAGTTGTCGCTGCCGTCCTGTTGCCTCTGTCACGATTTCGGATGTCATCGTTTTCAACAATACCTAGCATGGCAGATGTCGACCTGCAGCCCGACTCTCACACCCAGGTGCCCTATGGCGTTCTGGCGCAGGCCTGGTAGTCTCGGAGCAGCGCAAAGTAAGTATAGCTTCTTCATCTAGCTGCGATCATCGTTCCGCAAAGTTGCCGCGTCGTTGCGTCATCATTCTGATTGCTACTGTTGCTATGCTTTTCTGCGTCATCCTTGTGATTGTCCTTGCTGCCATTTCTTTACCAGACATTCCTCAGCTTTGCAGGTGATTTCCCTGGCGAACGGCAGCGTCCGCCTTTCCTGGCTGGGAGCTCAGAAGCCGTCTTCCATTGAAGGGAAATCCAAGTTCTAGGCAGAACAGCGCTGACGACGTGCATGGCTGCATGAACTCCCGGACTCCCTGCAGGTTAAATGGTGACAAACCATAGACATGCTGTTGAAGTACCGTGGAGTGCTTGAGGGTTCACGAGAACGCCGAAACTTGGGGCAAGAACCTTGTTTTGCAATGCATCCTGGGCTGTTAATTTTTGTCTGACTGATTTCTCGCAGAGGTAGCTCATGAGGTTTGGGTGGCTTCGGGTTCAGGGACTCAAGGGATCAGGGTTAATTAGGGCTTAGGGTTCTAAAGGCCTGAAGAACTTGTGGAGTTTAGCGCTCAGAGCTTGTCGGGTTCAGGGTTTGGTTTTTGAGGACAGGGATTTCCGGTCTGAGTCTAAGGCGTTCTAGAGCTGGGTCTGCAGAACTGGAGGCTCTTTGACTGGGAGAGTGCGCCTGCCGAAATATCTGGTGAGGACTGGGTGAGCATCTCAGCCCTGCTCTGCATAGCATCTCAGCTCTGCATCTCATCATCTTGTGACCTGAGCATGAGACATGCGCAACATGATGGCAGACTTGGTGAATTTGGTTAGGACTCTTGCTTGTTTGGATATCTACACTCTAAGCCCCCTTAAACCCTCCAGCCCTGCAGCCCCAACCCTTAACCAAGGCGCAGAGAGGTTTCGAGGTCCTGCGCTCGGACGAGGCCTGGCCTGCTAGTGATTATCACAAAGGCGAGACTGTGGGTTTTGGGTCTTTGGTTGGTGTCAGGATAGGGTTTAGGGTACTAGGGTTTCAGGACTTGAGGAATTCATTAGGTTTCAGTGTTTGGGGTTAGGTTTTAGGATTTATGAGGGTTTAGGACAGTCTGTGGACTAGGCTAAGACGAAGTCAAGGTTCACAGGTATCTAAATGGCAGGTTGTTTTAGGAATATTGAGCACTGTTAGTAGGAGTGTCAGGCTTCGTATGCTGGCCAGATGCCTATACAGAGAATCATGATGATCTTCATGGCATCATTTGAACTGCGATCTAAGGAATACTATTTTCTCTGCTGTCATTTGATGGCTTTTGTACCAGTGGTTCGTGCGTGCTAGAAACAATGAGCATTGGCACTTAGCTTGATGTTATGAGCATGCGCCAGGACTCAGAGGACGTTGAGGTTCTCCAGTTTTCAAAGCCGGCCCCCGAGATGGCGCATTGTTGCGTCCGCGTAGTATTTCAGCCTCTTGCAAGGTTGGCGGTGCCATCTTTGAGGTGCTTGATTCTAATAGGGTATATATTGGGGTTATATAGGGATAATGGAAAATAAAATGGAAATTGCTATCTAGGGTTTATGGTTTTGGGTTTTGGGGTTCCACATGATGAGGACCTATGAGGACTGTACTGAGCTGCAGATGCAGGAAGCCCTTATGTTGAGACGAGTTTTGGGTCAGACGCGAGACTACACAAAATGACGCCCGGCGCTAGAGTGAAAAACCGAACCCCTCAATCCTTAACCCCAAAACCCAAAACCCTGAACCCTGATAGTAGTTTCCATTTTGTTTTCCATTATCCCTATATTAACCCCAACAGTTGGCTGTCTCCTGAGGTCCCCTGCCTCCTTGGAGCTTCCGACAGGTCAAAGATACCGCCTCCAGGCGGCTCGTGAAAGGATCACCAACAAAATGATTTCCCCCAAAGTGTAAAATTATGTATGGTTTAGGGTTTAGGGATTAGGGTTCAGGGTGTAGGGATATGACCCCAATAATGGAGACTCAACTGGATAGGAACAGGGAAAATGAAATGGAAACTGTGCTTTTGTAGGGGATTCTTGGCTAGCTCTTTGCTTGGGGGTCTTTACAGTTGTCATGGAGCCTATGTATGAGAAGCTCTATTCAGGAGAGCCCCCTACATCACCAGCACCATAGAAACCCAACAGATTTTTGATGACCTGCTCATGGTATGAAGAGCTTTTTTTTCTTACCAGGTTCATCAACCTTTAAACTCCCCAGACTGTAAGCTTGGATATTGTGGATCATTTTCTGATTCATCGGTGTGTGTTTGCAAGGGGTTTCTTACATAAGGGTATGAAGGGGTACACAGGGATATATGGGGGTTATATAGGGGAATGAAAAAGAATATGGAAACCACCAAAGGGAATTGATCCATTGTATTTTGCAAAACACTGCAGTATTTGTCATTATTTGCGTGCGGGGACCGGACGCCCCAACAAGAGACCATGCCATTTGGGACCTCAAGTCTAAATCTTAAACCCGAAACCTTGCACCCTAAACCCTCCCTAAAACCCTGCAACCCCGGACCCTTAAACCGGAACCCTGAGCCCCAAACACTCAAACAAAACTCACATTATGACATGAGCTACGGACTAAATTTGGGTTGGGGGGACCTATAGGGGACTATATAGGGTTTTGGGGGGGACCTATTTAGGGGTATACCACAAATTTAGTCCAGGGCTCATATACCTGCAGAGTCTAGCAAGTTGCCGCGTGCAGGTGCGGGCCACTCTGTCGGACAGCAGACAACCAGGCTGGGAAGCCTGGTGTTCGTTTAGGGGCCATTCAACCCTCTTGTTTAGTAGCTTGTGGTAGTTTTAAACCAATAGGTTTTCAAATTATCTTGTCAGCTTGCTGTTTGGTAGCTTTTGGAACCAGATGTTCGCTGATGGGCATCACTTCTATCAAGGCTGCTATTGCCACTTGTTGCTAGGTGCTTCTGCTACCTGGACCTCGGCGCCGTCCAGCGCGGTCTGTGCCCCGGTTAGCGACGACGATATGAATTTCAAGAGATCAGCCAGACAGTCAGGATTGCAATTTCGGCTTGCTGAAGGGGGTTTCAATACGCCAGACAGTTCTGTGAGGTTGCGGCCGCAACTGCCTGCCAGCAACCAATCCATGAACGGATCTGCCGTGCTTGAGTACATATAGCAGGTCAGCGCCGATCTGCGAGCACCCACCTCACCGGTGAAAGCGTCGCAGGTGCCCTTGGTGGAAGTATTGTCTACTGGCACATGGGGCTAGCGCGGGGGTTTGGGTTTCAGGTTTTGCAGAGGACTAACCTATGATCTGCAGTTGTTATGAAGGTGGTATTCAGACACCCTAGCAGGGAGCCATTTTTTTCGCGCTTTTCAAAAGAAGCGAACCCTAAGATGCTTTGCCTTTGGAGGCCACTTCGCCCATGTCTCTCTCGAGCGAGGCCGCGAGTTGGACGACGCCTCCTTTCACAGGGTGTTAAATCACTTGGAGCATCCTGAACATAGACAGTGTTTTGGAAATGATGAGGTCTGTGTGAGGGTTGCTAGTCATGGTGCTGCCTGGCAATCCCAGAGCTGGAGGCTTCGGCAAAAATGCCGAGCCTGCAAGTGTGCTGCCCTCAGGGGCGTAGCCTTGCAGGGCCACGCGGAATGCGTGTCCCCATGACTCCCCACATGAACCCTCCACTGAAATCCTGTTCTGCCTGGTGCTTAGTAGGGAATTGGTGGATGGATCCATATGAAAGCGTGCAGCAGTCTCTTGCCTCCTGACCAGCTTGTTCCTTCAAACGCCCGTGATCCCTGTGTATCTCTCCATCGGGTCCAGTTTAACCCGTGAAAAAATACACAAAGCAAACTACTTGCACACGATCTCTCTTCCATGCATCTGCGGATGTGTTTGTGAAGCTAATTGCGTTCTATGTCTTGAGCCTTGATATAGACCCTTAGACCCTGAATTCCTACCCAAAAAGGCTCAAGCCCCAAACTTGACACCTCAAACCGCATACACTCAACTCTAAGGCCTCTCAAACTTGGCACCACAAGCCCTAAACTGAAAGCCTGATCCTTTATAGTCCCCCTTAAGTAGATAGAATATGGGGTATATGGGGATCTTATTTTAATATTTACTTAAGGGGGACTCTATTCTTTCCAAGGCCCAAGGCCAAAGCCAAGGGCCGTGTGGCCGCCAATTTCGGGGAGCCATGGCTGCAGGATCAAACTACTCGGGTTTAGGGTTTAGGGTTTAGGGTTAAGGGTTTAGGGTTAAGGGTTCAGCATCTCAAGTTCAAGCATTCACTCGAAGAGCAGCTGTCTCAAGTCATAGA